TGTGTGTGTGTGTGTGTGTGTGTGTGTGTGTGTGTGTGTGTGGTATGCTCTCTGTTCGCTGTACCACGTTTTTGTACTACAGTCTACTGTTGAACTCACGTTAGTGAGGTGGACAGCATCATACGTGCGTTGATCGATCAAGATCGATCCTCAGCATTTATTATGAACCCGTATGTGAAAATATTACAACAAAAATAGAACAAAAAAGCAACCACATGGTCGTAGTGCAGTTTTTCTTTTCTAAACCAGTACTTAACACAGGAAACCCGTCACTATTAGCAATAGCAATTAGCATATCTGCTTCGCATGCGCAGCTTCTTTTACAACAATTTCTGCTAATTATAAAAAATCCACTTCAACTCAGTTACCTGTTTTAGTCTTGCAACGAGAACGCTTTTCACACCAAAAGTGTCCAAACTTCTTCGTTTGAGCTCGGATTTAAGATCAACAACCCTTAATTCTGAGATTTTCTTTACATCTGTTGAAATGGCACCCGACGCCATTTTACCTCGATTGAATTGGCACGCTGCGCGCGCAGCCTATTAGGTCAACTTCTTCCTTGTTGTTTAATTACCGCAACCAATGGTTGCATCGCCACCTACTGGTAGAGTACAGTCGGTGCCATTAATTTGACATAAATAGAAATGTGATTCCGTATTGTATTTACTATTTTTGCCGGAAATATTTTATACAATAATTATCTTCAAAGAGTAAATAAGCAAGTAACTTCAAGTACTTTTGATTTTCGTGTAAGTTAGTGTAAAGTTTTATTGGCTTCATTCAAGCAGTAATATAATATTGTTGAAATGTGCAAATATTAATCTTATTCTGCATTATGTATGAATTTATACAAGCTGTTCAGTCAGTTGAACAGCATGCATCATATGCATGGTTATCTTTTTTTATTTTGTTATTTTTTAAAGTCTTATCTTTCCTTTCTGCGAGCTAACTTTGTATCTCAAGAAGATAACTTTCATCATTAGTAAAATAAACCATGTTGCAGTTTAAGTTTAATTGGGTCTACTTCATTTATTATTTCTTCATTCTAAACAACTAATTTAAAGCATGGTAGAGGATTAATTACTGTTTCAGATAAGAAATGAAAATGCAAGAGTAGTGATGTTGAAAGTCAGCCCAAAAAAATAAAGAAGAATCAGAAACTAAACTAAAGCTGTTGTAAATGCTCAAATACCGGCACATAACAGCTGAAAACATACAGTATTCTTTAAATTAAACTAAGTATATTTCAAACCGTTGTGTGCTGCAAACATTTATACATCTGGTCTTTATCTAACCAAAAAGTATCACATCATATTTTTCACACAAAATAAATAATGCATCGTTTAACTAAATAATGCATTGATTTTAAAAGTGCTCACAAATGGGAAATAGAAATGGGAAATTTTATTTGATTTATTTTATTCCTATAAATATACTGTATTTTTCATAAAAATGGGAAAGTCATTTTACAAGTTAGTATACCAAAAACACAGAATAACAAGAGAAACGTATTAAAATAATTWGAAATTAGGTGCTATATTATTATTTTGATAATCTTTTAAAATAGTTTCATACTTAAATGAACATTCAATGGCATTTTGGTACTACTAAAAGCTAAAACATTTAAAACACATACAAGGAACTTGCAAGTACAATTTAATTACTGTTTGAGTTTTCACTAATTGATAGTTTCAAAGCTTCCACTAAAGTGGACAGGGTGCAAATATAAAAACAAACAGAAAATGATCAACACTTCATTTGTCTTCAGAACTAAAACATGCATGTTTAAAAAAAATACTGTTTTAAAATTGTTTTTGCAGGAAAATGTTAGGTTCTCATGGCGGATTCTCACTCAATGGAGGAAAGAGTGAACTACAATTATTCAATAACTCTTTTTCAACAGAAATTGTAATAATGATAGTCGTTATTGCTGCACTAGGCAATTCAAACGCAGTGGAATTGCTTATGAAACATATCGAAATATATGTATTTTATTTTAAATATGGGTTTTCTGAAAGTAACATTTTTTATTCTGTAAGGACTTGAGAAACTTTTATTTTGTTGGGTTTTTCCGACTATATCCACTAGAGGGCGCACTAGTATTTATAATCGAGAAACGACGACACATAAACATTACCCATGGTTATGAATCTGTTTATAACTCATTATATTATTGTGTTAACTCAAAACTGGACGAATTGGTTGAGTTAACTCTAAAAGCATGTTTTTAAATTATCTTTTTAATCAGAAGAAGTATCTATTTGAAACAGAATTAAATKAAGCTGTCGAAAACCGTCGTAAAGWATTTCTCYGGGGATCCGGCGCCCYCTTGAGGGCTTTAGCGCAATGACAGCTTTGTAGCAGTAGCCAGCCAACAAACGACCTACTGGGTAAACAACAGTGGTGGATGCCTCGGAAGGCAGGAATGGGAACTTCATCGAGGGCGAACAGTGAGACATTTTATTCTTGTTATCCAAAAACATGATAGATAGTTCATGTTACCTTTCAATGGTTGATAGAATATATTAGCGGAGCTAAAAGTCTGAGTATAACCGAGTATTTGTTTGGTGAAGTGAGGCTAGCCTTAGCTTAGCTCGGCGCTACCCAGGGCCCCATTACCTTCGATTTTGTTTCACGGCTCTGCTTCGGGACTGTTGTCAGTTTCACGATCCCAGCCGCTACCTTCCTCCCAGTCGCGATTTCAGCATGGGCCTGTCGAGTTGCAGTTTGGCTTCACGTTTTAGATACCTGTTCGTTTTTAACATTTGCCTGTATTTTCATAGGAATTTCACCTCTCATGTCGTAAAAAAAGATAGGGACACATTTGAAAATAAGGACTTAGATTCAGGTACGTGTTGTCTTTGTTGTCTTCTGTCTGGAGTATCGGTGTATTTAAGCTAGCCACTTTGATTTTTCTTTTAATAGATTAGTAATAGCACCCATGATACAATATTGTAACGTTTTTGATCATTTTGGCCTCAGTTACTTCATGGGACACAGGCAGACAGCAGCTGGGCTTATTGTAATTGCCAAGCGTTGTAGAAACTATGCTTAGCCTCAGTTTTTACTCGATGCTGTCAACCCAATTTAATCTAGCATGAAGCTGGGGTTTAGCTGGCCTAATCAAAGTAGTTAAACAGCGAGCTGTAGATTTCAGTTCAACATGTTTGAGTGTTGCCATCTCTTCAGTTTCTCATTTTAGCTGTCCCGAGTTTTTAATTTCATAGCTTAATCTCCTGCTTTTAGATATTTAATTGGAAATCTGTATTATCATTCAGTCCAATGTCTTGGGAGATCTTTTTTTCCCTTTAGGGTTGTTATCTAAGGATTCATATGCCACATTTCTCTCTTGCATATGATGGATCCTCCCTTTGCTCTAAGCAGTATATAAATACAAACTTCTTTCAATTTATAGGTTCAAATTATCTTCACTTAATTAACCGTTGAACAGATCGACTCCTGAAACATGGACTCAGCATCCTTTCTCAGAAGGCACATTTTCAGGTCAAGTGACAAAAAGCGTGTGGTTATAAAATTGTTCAAAACAGGAAAGCAGTGATATTGTTCAGGATTAGTACTGAGGCAGATCAGTACTGGATTAGTTACCGGTATAAATAGCCTGTAACGTATAAGACAATAATATGGTATAAACTGCTTCATTCACAAAACTAAAATAAAACATTTATTTTTCATTCTCACTGACCTTTCATCAAACACAACAAAATCACATTATGCCAGTTGTCACAATATTAACATAAAGTGGATAGTAATGCTGCATTGTTGAGCAGTTTAGTTAGCATTGTCTTCCATCTAGGGTTGGGCAATATTGGCAAAAAAATTAATCACGATTAATTGTGGTATTTAGCCGATAATTAATTTGACGATTAATCCCTTGGAGTCCCTGAGACCCTTATTTCATAGTCACATGAGCAATTTAGTGGGAAAGATTTGCTCTTTCTAAAAAAATGTTCCAAACTGTGTGAAAATTACAGATTTCAGGCTATACATCATATTTTAAATTGTGCTGATAGATAAATAAGTTACAGAACTTTATTTTTAATGTTCATCATATTTGAAGTGGGGAGGAACAGCGAGCGGACTCTTCCTGGTGGCAGTAATCATATTAATCGTCAAGTGCCAAAAAGTAATCGATTAATGTTTTTCTGACGATTAATTGCACACGATACGATTATGCCCAACCCTACTTCCTTCAAGAAAGGCTCAGATTCGACATTAGCCTTTTTGTGTGGAATTCCCTCTGTGGATGCATGAGTTTTCCTTGAGTACAAACAGAGTAATGTTTTGTATGCTGTCAAGTGCTGGGAAGACTATGACCAGTTATACATCAGGGAATCAACGCAGCCACTGACCTAAAGGATGGCCCAACACAGAAGCGCAACATCAGCAGGTCAGGACTTTGCAGTTTACACTCATCTACAGGCTAACAGTCACTCTTTCAGGGTGAAGATGATCTCATCCTTGATAGAGAGGAACACTGGTTTGAGAGAGGAGTAAAGGAAACCATTTTTGTGAAGAGAAACTGCCTGTTGTTAAATAGAGGTGGAGGCCTTTGTGTCCAGTTGTTCCCCTCTGACTCAGCCCTCCATGAACAATAGACAACAATCAGAGCACTAATGATTCTTAAGGGCTCGACACACGGGCAGCGACAAACTACAGCGATTAWTGGCTGTCATCGCAGCCAGGGTGAAACCCGACACACGGGACGCGATAGCGATCGCACCGTTGCGAATCGCGCTCTCAGATCGCTTGTCTTCACAAAATTTGATTGGTTCTTGACTCTGAAGTGGGGTGTGCATTACGGACGTGTAAACTTAACAAATCTTGCGATGCTAATGATATTGAAAAACAAACACACATCAAGATACAGTTTTATGAGGAAAAACTTACCATAAACTTCACCCT